AAGAGACTCTAATGCAGGAGTTTAACACTAGGGCAATCATTCCCTTTGCCTGTGGTGTAAAACATGGATTGCACAGGTATTGCTTTTTAACAAGAACTAAGTGTGATGTTCTTTGGTGCTGCTGCTATTCAGACTAGCTCTGTAATTTGAGTTTTTTAAAGCAAAGTAATTCGGGGGAGAGAGAAGAAACAAAGTCCCATAAAGAAACTTTTGCAGTCTTACCAACATTTACTCTAATCCCTTGGCATCAACTCCTTCCTAAGTGGTGTATGCATCAGGATTTGCAGCATTAATGATTGCACATAACTTGTACACAATGGATCTGAGGTAACTTAAACTTCGGTTAAGGAAGCAAGGAATACAATTGTTACATTTGAGCTGCTATGCCACACTCACGGTATCTTACTATTACTGTAACCAACTAATGCCAAAAGAATGGTTTTGTAATCAAATTATAGATGTATCCTAAAACAAAAGACAAACACAAACAAAAAGAATGGCTTTGGTCTACACTAAAAAGTGTGACTTTTATTCCATCTGAAAAGGGACTGAAGCACAACCAGTCTATATTTTATTTATACATATATATTCATTACATTAAATTTTTTATCTATTTAATATGTATAGAGAGAGAAGTGGGGGAGAGTAAGGGAGGGAGGGAGATGGAAAGAGAAAAGTCAATTTGTTTCACTTATTTATGCATTCACTAGCTGATTCTTGTATGTGCCCTGACATCATGATGATCAAACCCACAACCTTGGGGTTCAGTGTGGACACACTAACCAACTGAGCCACCCAGCCAGGCGTACCAGGTCTATATTTTAGAAATATAATTTTGGTAGCAGCATGGACAATAGTTTAGAAGAAAAACGGCTAGAGACAGATAGACCGAGTTAGGAAGAAAATAACTGACATAATCCAAGCTGACTTGAGGCCTAAAGCTAAAGGCAAGAATCAGTGGTAATGGAGAAGAGAAACTAACTAGAAATAGTGGCTGACTGAATGTGGAGAGTGAAAGAAAGAGAGAAGTCAAAGAAGAGTCCCAGATTTGTAGCTTCAATGGATAAGGTAGATAAGCAATGAGTGATGCATGGGAGGAAATGGGTGCTACAAGTCTGAGGTGTCTATAGCTATACTTTGGGATGAGCTGCAGTATGTAGACCAACTTCTTAAAGAGGATGTGAAAAATAATTCTGTCTGGTGGTGACATCCACCTGGCATTTGGACAAGAGTCAGGACAGAAAGACTTGGGAATTGTCAGCATTTATATCAGAAGATACTGTGATGCCTAATATCACAAAGAAGTATGCAGAGTGAGATAAAGTGCAACGACATATCTCTAAGAATCCCCAACAGTTAAATGGAAGAGATGCTCATCCGTCTAAATGCAGAAGAGCAGGTAGAAGGTAATGACCTGATGTCAGGGGGTTAGTGGCTCAGAGATGAAGAGATTAGAGTGCGAAGAACTGAGGTGCTGACAAATGTTTTGTACAAATCATGTACCAAAAGTTCCATGTTGGACAGGGAAAAAAATAGCATAATTAATGTAGGGTTGCCAGATTTATCAGGAAAAAAAGGGACATCAGTTAATTCGAACTTCAGATAAAGAAAGAATAACTTTTTTTTAAAGTATAAGTATGTTCCAAATATTGTATGGGGCATACTCATACTAAAATTTTTTTCACTGTTAATCTGAAATTCAAATTTAACTGAGTATCCTGTATCTTATCTGGCAACCAAAATTAAATGGAAAATAAAGACCTAGAGTATGGGAGCTATCCTGAGGTCAAAGGGCAGCGGCATGGTGTCATGGGGTCAGAAAGCTGAATATTCAAACACTGTCATTTAGGACTTCAGAGATAGAAGAGTGATGAAAAAGATTAAGAAGGATTCATTGGAGTATGTGGATGAAACAGAATAGAAAGGAGGTCAAGAAGAAATACTGAGTCAAAAATATTGGATGGACCACTAGCATGGACACTGGGATTTAGTTAAAATGATAGTTACAAGTCCCGGATTAGTGTGGCTCAGTGGGCCGGACATGGCAAAGGTCATATGTTCGATTCTGGTCAGGGCACATGCTTGGGTTGCAGGCTAGGTCCCTGTTTGGGGGTGGGTGAGAGCAACTGATTGATGTTTCTCTACCTTTTTTTCTCCCTCCCTTCCCCTCTCATAACATTTTTAAAAAGATTTTATTTATTTATCTTTAGAGGGGAAGGGAAGGAGAGAGGGAGAGAAATATCAATGTATGGTTGCCTTTCATGCATCTCCCGCTGGGAACTGGCCTGCAACCCAGGCATGTGCCCCGACTGGGTATCGAACCATGATCCTATGGTTCACAGGCCCGTGTTCATTCCACTGAGCTACACCAGCCAGGGCAACTTTTTTTTTTTTTAAAGAATTACCCAAGGACTTCAACTTCAGGGGTGGGGAGGAAATTGTCCAAGTGTAGGTACTTGTGACTGATCTAGGCTTGAAAATTAAAAAGTTTACATAAAATGTTAAAAATAGATAGCTCAATATGACCTGTCTGGTTTTGAAAAGAATGTTCTGGGTAGAATGAAAAACAGACTTGAGAAAACTAGAATATAATGAGACAAGAAATAAGGACAGTGTAATCTTTCAGGTGAGAGAGGGTGGTACTTGGAATAGGGCAGCAACAGTGGACATGGAGAAGTAGATGGTTTTAGTGCTGGTAGGGATGAAGCCAATAGGAATCGGTAACAGTGGTGAGAATTCTCTCCCAGTTCAATGTTGTTAGGAATGATCTAGTTGAAAGGGAATGGCTGAATACATGGGAAACAGGTAACAGTATGTTTTACAGTAATAGTACTCCTCTTAGACCTGGGTAAGGACCCAGGTCCTTAGACCTCCTTCTGCTGCAGATGATAAGGTGCCTATGAGATCAAGGGGCCATGCCTACCTGGAGCCTGCACTCCTCTTTTAGACTGGCTAGATCTAAGGGCAGACTTAGTTGCTGATTACATAATCACTATTTGCAGGGGGTGAGAGGTGTGGACATAAGCTTGGACATGTCGATTGCATGCACGCATGGTCTCTTTTTGTAGGTGAAGAAGCTAGGAATGGGAAGAGAGTGGAGTCAGTGTGACATCTCTAAAAGTCTGAGAATTTGAAATTTAAACCTGGTGTTCCGGCTTATTATTTAAGTAGATTTGTACAGGTAGTAAAATAGATGTTTTTTAAAAAGCTTATCATCTTGATTTATAACTTACATATTTGGACACATGATATGTGACCCTCCATTGCTATTCTTGCCCAGGCTTTGCAAATTTAAAACAGTATAGTGCAAGGAGTAAAAAATTCACAAAGATGAAGTTCACTTTAGTTGGGCCCTTATGTAGTCAGATTTTCTAGGCTTCTGTGTAGGAGATGAGGAAATTAGTGCAAGTTTCCAGGCACTACATTAATGTACATAAGAGACAGTTTTCTCTACCTGGAGGGTCAACAATTAAAAAGCTATTTTGATTGTAATGGTTTCAGTGTAATTTTGAAAAGCTTCTTGAATATGGCAGGCAGGAGTTTAAAGTTTAAGCATGGCAAAGGACCTTACTGTTCATGCAATCAAATTCACTCAACAAATAAAACATGGGTTCTGATTGATGAAGCACCCTGAGTAAGGTCACAAAGTTAGTAGCAGATGATTTCCAGCTCTATCCTCTCTGCCTACTCTTCCTCAAATGCTACTTTTCATGAAGACATCTGCTGCCAGTCAATTCCAGCTACAAAGTTTTCACTTGCTTTCACTGCTATGTATTAAAGTAAGTGAATAGTTCCACCCTAAAACCAAGAAAAAAAAAACAACCAAAAACCCTACAACAACAAAAACAAGCCTATAAACCAATATTAAATTTTGACTACAAATAGTCTTAAAAAAGAAAAAACAAAAAAGGAGGGGGGACAAAAATCCAACCTCCTAAAGACACAAGTATTGGCAATCCTGGATAGTTACTTTTAACTATTTTTCCGGACAGTTTACAGGCACTTTAGGTCCCCTATTAGGACTCAAAATACCCTTCGAATGGTCATCTCCTGATTTGACTATTTTTATTTTTACCATCCATTCCTTTGACTTTCGATGTCATGCGAGACCTTACTCTCGTTTGAAACGTACTCTCGTTTTGGTTGCAACCGTAGTACTGTAACCTATCTCCCCAAATTCCTTATTTTCTAAATTAGAAATCAAAGTACAGGCTTACAAAATACTGAATAGTCAAGATGATAACTAAACGCTAAAACACACTTTACTTTTCAAACATCTATAAATACCGCTAACGGATTTTTTCTTAGCGAGTCTGAGTTATAATAAAATTAAAATCTTTAAGGGTCCCACGAAAAAAGTTAAAACAAATCTCTACAGAGACTCTTACCTTCAAGCTCAGAAGTAATCCCAAAGTTTAGGTTTGCAAGTAGTTATCTCCCTCAAAATTTAGGAATTGACGTTTTTGGCAACAGGAACAAATCTCGTCAAAACACCAAGTGACTTTAAACCCCTCCCATCAACGGACCGCTGCCAACTGGAAGGAACAACTTAACTGCTGGAAATTTTTTTCCCCCTCGATCTGAGCATCTGCGAAATGCAGCTTCCTGGGCTCGAAGAGGCAGGGAGGGACCAAAAGGACCCATGGGGGGAAAAAAAGAGGAAATGATACGACAAAGTCATTGAAGCAGAAATGAGTGCGACCTGGGCCCCGGGGAAATTTTGGGGTCCGCGGTGGTGGTTCTTCCCAGACACTCACGGCCCTCCGGAGTTCACGCTGGCAATAATTGCGAGGCCATCCCCTCGCAGCTCTCTCGGGCCACTAATCACACACCGTGGAGCCGTGACCTCCTAAGCGGGTCCACTCCGGGATACCACCCCTACGGCTCCAGATTCGCGCCTTTGACTGGTTTCTACGGAGATCCCTCAGGATGGCTCGTCCAATGAAAGGCCCGGCCGGTGGCCCAGACGCTCCGCCCCCCCCACTTTGGATCCGCCCCTGCCCTGCTCCCGAGAGCAGAGGAGAGTAAATACAACAGGAGCGCAAAATGGCGGAGCCGCTGAGCCCAACGCACAGCGCTGCAGCCGCTGCAGCCGCAGCCACCGTCCCAGAGAAAGAACCATTTGGCAAGCTGCAGACCGCCTCCCGGGACCCACCGGGACCTCTGTCCGCCAAGAAAGTCCGGACTGAGGATAAGAAAGCGCCGCGGAGACTGAACGGAGAAGGGAGCAGCGGCGGGAACAGCAGACAGCTGCAGCCTCAGGCTGCACCTTCGCCTCAAAGCTATGGCAGCCCCACGACTTGGAGCTTCACCACTCTGTCTCCTGCCCCCTCCCCGTCCTCTGCTCGGAGCAGTTTCTCTTTCTCTGCTGGCACGACTGTCCCGTCCTCAGCCTCTGCTTCCTCGTCTCAGCCGGTGCCGCGCAAACTGCTGGTCCCTCCTACGCTGTTGCACGCTCAGCCTCACCCTCTCCTGCCGGCCGCCGCCTCCTCTGCCAACGCCAAGGCTCGCAGACCCAAGGAGAAGCGAGAGAAGGAAAGGAGGAGGCACGGCCTCGGCGGGGCAGGCGAAGCCACCCGGGAGGAGAACGGGGAGGTGAAGCTGCCGCGAGGTGGGTCCCAGTGCCGGGAGGGGTGAGGAGAGGGCACCCCCGTCCCCGCCAGCCACCCTGTCGTACCCACGGGGTTGGAGCTAGGGGAGCGAGGGGGCCTCGTGCGCCTGCCTGGAGGGGGCGGGAGGCGTCCGGTTTTCTGCAGGCAGTCTTGCAGTCCTCGTGGGGACAGGAAATGGAGCTCGTAATTTCGGTCGCAGTCGAGGGGAATGGCCGAAACTCTCATTTTCTATATCGTTTCTGCTTCTCACTTAATACGAGGCAAGATTTGTAGAATTCGGTGAAGAAGACCGGTCTAGGAGTGTTTGAAGACAGAGGGAGAAGGGAGGGAATGGGATTGTGGAGGGTTTTGTCTTGTAAAAAAGACAGTCGATTGATTATTGGACCGTTTAGTCTTGATCATGGAATTCATATTTTTGATAAGGCTCTAACGCCAGAAGATTCTGTTGAAAAAAGGGGGTGTGGAGAGTATTGGCGTCAGCTGGAAGCTACCGGAGGCCTGAGCTTTTCAACCCTATTAGGGAAATGAGGTAGCGTGTAGGGCCCGGAGTGTGCTGTTTTATAAGGTACCCTCCTTCCACTCTCCTTTCCGCTCCGTAGGCTTTAGTGTTTTGAGTGGTCTTGTTTGAAACACCATCCTTCAGAAATAATTTTCAGCCATACTCTTTTTTTCTTTTTTCCTGCAGCAAATGATAAAATCAGGAGCGTTAACGTTTTAGGGTCAGACCAAGTGGCTGCAAAATATTTTAGCATCAGAAAAAGGCGAATTACTACCTGTCCTTCTCAGACTCGGCTACACAGTTTTAAAATGTAGGCTAGCCATATCATTTTTCAGAAAGCATTTCTTTTAAATAGATGCCCTCCCTGTTTTGCTGTTGATGCACGAAGATCTGACAGGGAGTGGTACAATATAGAGACTGGTTGAAAATTAGATATTTGTATGTCCAGACGTTTAAAAGTGCATAATGATCTTTAATATATATTGATACACAGTATTGCCAAAGTAGTTTTGTGTTGAAAGGAAAAATGAAATGTCAAACAGTTCTAGCGTTGCTGATCGAATGGTACCTTACATCATAAAAAATTATATATTTGAATTCGAATGGCTATTTTCACAATTTTTTAAAATGCTGTAAATGAGTATGGCGCAGCAGTTAGTTATTTCTTGATGTTTTGCCTGTAATAAAGCTTTGACATCTAAGCAGAGCCATTAGGTACTCTGGCACAAGATAAACATCTAAGCTATGGAGAGTATTGCTTCTAGGGAAGTGGTTTTTGTACTACTTTTAGTCTGGTTTTAAGTGGTTAGTATTTTAAAGCTATTTTATCTTAATGGTTACAGTTAAAAGTTGTAAGTGCGTGGAAGCCTTGCGTTACAGTAAGTAAACAATGCATTTGCTTTTCTAAGTTCCTTGAATGAGGAAGTGAATACTGTATAACATTGTCAGTGTACTGGAATGGCTAATAATAAATAAGCATTCTTTAACAATTCTGACTTGAAATATGGAGCACATAAATGGCCCTTAAAGGGAAGTGGCTCTTAAAAGAGAATTTTTCTAGTCTTTTTAATTACATTTAGAATCTTTTTGAACACTCCAGCTTACCTTAATAAGCCTGAATATGAGCAGTGATAGCTTTTCGTTAAGATGTGGGGAAGTCCTGCCCCGCGTGGCTCTGTTGGTTGGGTGTTCTTCTGCAAAGGGGAAAGGTCACTGGTTCTATTCCGGTTAGGGCACATGTCTGGGTTGTGGGTTCAGTGGCATGAGAGGCAATATATAGAGGTTGCTTGCCCTCATTTTCTCCCTCCCTTCTCTCTTTCTCTAAGAATAAGTACATAAAATCTTTTGAAAAAAGCATGTGGGGAAGATGTTTTTCTGTGACCTATTTAGGTTTCTTTAATGACTAGAATATTAACACTTATGAGATTTCTTTTTTTATATATATAAAAAGGCTATTTTTATTTGAGGAAAACAAAAAATTAAAAGGGGGTTGCTTTTCTGTATCTTGATGGTAAATTTAATGTGAAAATATTAATTTAGGAGGTGCCTGTATCCTAAAACTCATATATAACTGAATTAAGGTTCTTTTTTAATCAGTTAAGGAAGATTCATAAGCAACAGTGTCATTAAAATAGCATGATTACATAATGCATTCAATGTAGTTATGATTGCACATATAAAAGTCCTAGTTTGTAATGTAGTTCTTATTTCTCTGGGCTTTTTGTAAAAATCTTAGTGAATGGATAACCAGGTATCTTATTTTGGGTATATATACTTCTTTTTAGTGTTACTCTAAGTTGAATAGTTCATTGGATAGTTCAGTGCACCCCCTCAATTATCCCATAGCTCACTGATTGAACATTTTGAATCAGAACCAGAAGTTAGCTATTAAGACACCTAAGCAAAGGATAAATTCTATCTTCAAAACACAAATAAAAATAAAAAAGGTCTATCCTCTCAACTTCAGTTAAACTTCTTTGTTTATTTGTAGTAGGACTTTTTTTTTTTTTTAGTAAACTACTAAGTGTGTTAAATGAAAATGTATATGAAAGTGCTTGGCAGGGCATTGAGTAAATTTTATTTGAGTCAGAAAAAATGATAATTTGTTTTTGTTAACCTCATAACAAATTAAAAGGTGGGTCAATTTAGATAGAGGAAGGATCAACAGTAGATTCAAAAGTTAGGAGTAATGAACAAGAGAATTATAAAAACATACCAGTCTAGGCCAACTTAGTATGGGTTGATGCCTTGCACACCTAAAGCCTGTCATTGATGCAGCTCTCTGGTGTGATAGCTTGAGTTATCAAGTAAAAGTTATCATAAAAAGATAATGTGCAAAACACTTTAGATTTTTATTTTTATTTATTTATTTTTTAAACAATATTTATTTATCTTTAGAGGGGAAGGGAAGGAAAGAAGGAGAGAAATATCAATGTATGGTTGCCTCTCGGGTGTCCCCTGCTGGGAACTGGTCTGCAACCCAGGCATGTGCCCTGACTGGGATTCAAACTGCGATCATTGGGTTCGTAGGTCCATGCTCAATCCACTGAGGTACACCCAGCCAGGTCAGATTTTTAAAACTAGAAAGTAATCAGGCTTTGGTTCTTACAGAGGTAATTTGCTGAAGAGTTCATAGTTTATTTTCCTGTAAGATGGAATTATTTACTGAATCAGTAGATGTGGCAGTAAAAGTGGAACAGGTACTAAAGGTATCCAACATTTAGAGTTATGTCATAAAAAACAATAGAACAAACACACTATTAGGCAACAAAACACCTTAACTGATTCCAATAACCAATAAAACATATACATGTATTCTATTTTTGTTAGCGTTTGCTTTGCATTTACTTTCTTTATTTTCTTGGAATGACCCTATGAAGTATCCTAAGACAAAACCAGAGCATTTTACAGAATTTTTACTTGAAAGTGTAGTTACGGAATTTAATGAAAATAGAGGCTCTTCTTAGAATTGATGAATTTGAGGTAGAAATGTCAGTGATTTTAAAGGGGTAGATGTTCAAAAGTTTTTCCAACTAGACTTTTTTCCCCATCTTTCTAATATTGTTATTCCATCATTTTAGGTTAAATCTGTATTCATAATTTTCATCATTGTGACCAAATATTTGTCACTACTGGGATAGTTCACAAAGAATTCATTTTCTTCTGTTGTTGTGTTGTTCTTGTGTAACCTTTTGTTTTTCATGCCTCATTTTTTTCATTTGGTTAGTTTTGTCTGGCAAAGCCTTTCTGTACTCTCTAGCAGCTTAAAAAAATGCATCTCAGTACAATTTTCCACATGGTCAGATCTGTCAGATACTATCACTAGTTCCATTCGTTCCTGTAGCCATCCATCCCTTTTGTAGCTGTCTTTTTTCTTCTTGCTTTGGTCTGGATTGTTTCCTTTAGGCCTGCGGCAAAGCTGTCATTTGGGGACTTCCCTTACCTGACATTCTGGGAATTTCTTTAGTTTTAGTTGAATCCTTTTTTTTTCTGGATCCTGTGTCTTTTGATTTATTCCTTTGTTTGTTTTCCTCTACTCTTACTATGAAAGACTAAATGGGAATATGTTTTTGGGATTTTATTTTTACCCTCGCACATGATTGTTTGACTGTGGAGAGATTTCTATATTGGAAATCATATTCCCTCAGAAATTTGGAGGTCTTCCCTTATTGCCTGGCTGGCAATGTTAATGTTCCAAAATTTGATCTTCATATAGTCTTTTGTTTAACTTTCAGGGAGATTTGAAGCCTTTCACTGGGTTTTAACATTTCATGTATCTTAAAAATATGTTTTATGAGCTCTTGTTCATTGTTACTGTGTTATAGCATCTTGTTTCTTTTTCATTTATGATCTCTTCAAGGGTATTAACCATGGTTTCTTTGACATGTTCTTCTGTTTTTGCTTTTTTTTTTGTTCCTTTGACTTCTTTTCTGTTTGTTTTGGTCTCATTGTTGGAGGCTTTCTTCATATCTGTGTGATCCTTAGCAGTTCCTTCATAAACAAGAGAAAGTTTCAAAGGTAGTAGGAAGGTCACTGGGCATGCACGAGCATGGCTTAGTGATTAATGAACTCCGATGTTTTCACCTTTACTTCTTTTCTCTGGTGGTGAATAAATAGAAGATTCTCTGTTTCTTCAGATAAAAGTCCTTCATTTTTCTGTCCCTGTGTAAGTGTAATAGTGAAGAGAGGAGGGGATTGGTAGAGGTTATGAGTTTAAATGGCAGGGTGCTTAGTAGTCCTGGGTAGAGGAAGAAAGCTACAAGTCTCACCATTCAGTTTATAAATTTTCACTTAGTCTCCCTGTTTTTTTTTTTTTAAAGATTTTATTCATTTATCTTTCAGGGGAGGGGAAGGAGAGAGGGAGAGAAATATCAGTGTGTGGTTGCCTCTCGTGTGTCCCCCACTGGGAACTGGCCTGCAACCCAGGCATGTGCCCCTGATACAGGGTGCAGCCAGGGCCCCCCCCCCCCCAAAAAAAAAGATTTGGAATGGTGTCCAGAA